ATTTGAAGGATGGACTAAGATGAGAAAAACTTTCTGGCATGACATAGAGAGCCAACTTTCCTTGCAGTAGATGATGTTCTTTGGGATATGCAGGAAAAATAATGATTAATCCTAAACACAAAGAGATTATAGTGATTAGGAAAGCATCCTGTCTATTCCACAAAGCAGCAGTTCTTAGGAAGAAGCTGTCTGAAGAGAACTTACTTCTTCTTATAGTAAAACGCAAGGAATGGGGATGATTCACCCTTGTGTACATAGCCTGGTGGATTCCAGTTGTAATAGTCAGGGGTGGTGGGACTAAGAAAAGTAGTTCATCAGAATCCATACCATGGAACTACCAACAGAGATGCAAGAAGATCACAACATTTAGTCTGTGGCAAACAGATTGTAGAGTTGAAAATAATTCATCACCCACAAGACTGTATAGATGCTTTTTGAACTCAGGTAAGTCAGGAGTGGATATCTCCAGCCCAGATATGACAGCAATGCTCCATTTTTTTATCTTATCTGGCTCTTGTAAAGATAGAGTATAGCAGGGATAGTCAAACACTTATTGGCATGGTAAAATGATCCAACTGTTTTTCCAGCATCTTTCAAAATAGATCAAATATATGGGTTCAACTTGAGCATGGGGAAAGCTCAAGTCCCTGGAGATGTTCAAAACTCCTTGAGAGAGCACTCATCCATCATGATAGGTGAAAGTTCAATTTACTGTACAATCACTAATTCCTTGTAGTTGTCACTGTTCAAGTTTTTGTATTCATTAGCAAATCCCAGGGTCTATGTATGAAGATTAACTGTCACATCAAATGAATATTTATGATAAAAAAAAACAAAGTTTGGTTGAGTTAGGTGGCATATGTAATGTCAGATTTTATATGGGACATCATGTAAAAATTTTGTAAAAATTCAATTAATAAACTAATTATTAAACTAATTAATTAATAAACTTTAAGTGCTTCAAATGGCTTTGTTGCATGGATCAGTGGGCATATATTTTGGGTTTAGTGACCTTCAGTCATCTTTAATGAAACATATAAAAGAGGCATTGTTGCCTAAATAGACAAAATATATCATGGATGTGTGTGTTTGAGTAAACATTCCTGTTCTTTAAACTGTAAATTTATATCTAGTAATCTGCATTATTTTTGATAAAGAAAATGAAAATGTGCTTTCTGACAGGATTTGAACCTGTGTTCATCTTACAGGGGAATAGTCATTAAGCCTGTCATGTTTTGAGACCACTCAGCTATGGAAAACCTTTGCAGTCAAGCAAGGTTCAATTATCCTATTGATGAAAAGCATCTCTTGTTTGGATCTCTGCAAGCTAATATCTGCCTTTTTTTCATATCTGAAACCTGTAACTTATAAGGAATTAATGAAAATAATTAATAATCTAACATTATTTGTTGTTTTAAATGTTGTATTTAGTGAATACACTTGAGTTGGCATCAATGTCTTTTCAAACTGTAAATTTATATGTACTGGCCTGTACGTTGGAGTCTTAAAGATATACATGATTATTCAAAAATTGAAAATTTAAATGCTAAGAGTAAGAAGCATATTCAGCACATTACGAGATGAGAAAAAGATCAGTTATTAAATTAAAATATTTTCCCATCTTTAAGTGCTTCGCCCTGATTTTCTATAAATTTAAATTGTTGTATTTAGTATTGGTATTAGTAAAATTTAGTATTGGGGGTGAGGAAATTGAAGATACAGTAGACTCCACCAGGAACAGTTTTGTCCAACAGTGCCAGATTCTACAAAAGAAAACACTAACCTAAGAACATGAGGTAAGTTCTCAAATTGCTTCATCAGATCTAGACTCTCATATAGATATCTTGCTTCATATCCAACTCATTGAGAAATGTTTAAACTCCTAACTATATACCGGGTGTAACAGCAAAATTGTCCAAATCATGAAACGGCATGGGATAATTGTCCATTCCACAAAATATTTAATATCTAAATAACCACTAACCTAATTGAGTTTCTTTTTTTTTTCAAATTTTCAGATAAGACATTTAGCCATCTTGACACCATTTGTCATATGAACCACTGAAAAACCCTTTGAGTTATTCAGCTAGAAAAAGAACAGATTAAAATCTTTTTGTGTCAGCTCAACTATGTCTTCCCAACTGAGCAATGGTAAGAGGACAAAGTTCATTCAGGCCTTCAGTAATGGTACCAACGTTCATACTCCCCTTTCCATCTTCAAATTTCATTCAAGAACCATCAAGAGAATGGTGAATAAATTTAAAAAAGAGGGAGCATTAGAGAGGAAAACTGGATCAGTTGGTCACAACAGGAAGAGGGATCATCATTTCAACTTAGAGCTAAATATATTCTTATTGTTTAAAGTAGATTTCAGTAGTTTTATAAAATCCTTGAAAAATTCCAGTAAGATACAATGGCTCAAGGCTTTATCTAACAATTGTACAATTTTTCTGTTACACAATTTGGACAATTTTACTGTTACATGTGTACAACAGTTTTCTTGAATCAATCATTAAAAATGGCTTCAAGTGAATGAAACCTTCATCCAATATTACTGACTACAAAATCACAAAGAATTTTACCAAATAACAAAAACCACATCATTTGAATAATTACAAGTGCAGTAACAACTAAAATGGATAGGACATTTAACTAGAATGACAAATAATGATATACTCAAGATCTTGACTTTCCACACCACCTTAAACAAAAGGTTAGGAAGGAAACTTACATTAATAGCAGAAAGAGCAATAACAATTAGTTAACTTGAGGCACCTATTTTCCTGAAAATAGAGAAATATTTTATAAATTTCAACGGACAGTAAATTTAAATATTAAGTCAAAAATGTTGGTTGTGTTGTGCATCACCACTGGCTTCAGCCGTTCACACCCTAATGCCAATTCATATGCTATATAAATGAATTTGTTTTATTCTACGAGAAGGATGAACTGGGTAGCATTGATTCTGGTAAGTAACAGGAGGAAGGTCTTCAGCAGAATGTATACCCACTCATTGGATTAGCATTTTGTCACATGCAGGCTAGCCTCTCTAAAAAATTTAGTTGCAGAATGCATTTTGGCAGTGCAAAATTCTTGCATCCCTCTGTTGGCTTTGTACTGTTATAGTCTTATATCCAAAAATGAGACAAAGGCAATCCATCACTGTCAGCATTCAAGGTCCCCAAGGTATTCTGAAGAATCACTCACCATCCTGTTCCAGCCTCAACATTCTCTAAGATGATGATTGTTTCATCTAAGGAAAAGGCTAATCTTAGGATCATCATTACCATCAGTCATCAATCCTAATGTGAAATATGTAACTATCTCAGCCTGATGGCTGAGATAGTTACATTAATATTAATGATATGTTAATTTTAGCAATAAAAAATGGAAACACAAAAACTGTGTTGCGACACTCTCCCATGTGAAGAGGGTTTGTCTACCTTGAAAATCAGCATTTTCTGATTGAGAACAAGCACTAACTTCTGGTTTAGCATTGTATAAGATGAAAGCTTGCTTGCCTTGAAAATCAGCATTTAAAATCCTTGTTTGTAACCGCAAGTACTAGTGTGAAATACGAAAGAGCCTGTTTTGGATGAATTACCCTTCAGCATTTCTTCATTGTTGACATTCTTTTTAAAAACCTTCAAAGTGAATGCCTCTTGATCTTGATTACAAAAAAGATTGTTTTAGTTGATTCCTTAGAAGGAAATGACAACATAACTGCAAAATTAAAAGAAAAAAGAAGACGATATTGCAAACTGTAAGCTTAGAACAAAGTTTTAGCTTGCTGAAAAACTTCATTTCCAGAGTGCAAAACATTCAAAATGAGACAGAGAACCTTAGTGAGAAAAGGTCAGAAAAGTTCATTTCTCAGCCAATTTTAAAGAAAAGTATGTAAGATCATTACTTTGTGATTGATGATCATTTAACAAGAGGCCATCAACAGAATTACAAATGATTTTACTTTTGCTTACAAGCAACCTTTTAACCTTAAAGTACCCCCAAAACCTCCAGGTATAAAATGAGAACCTTAAATTCTGTGGTAGTTAACTAACAACATCTCACCTCCCTTTTTTTGATGATGTTTAAAAAAATACAACTGGAGGTGTGTCTCAACAAGCTGTTTAAAGGTTGAATTCAAGAAAAATGGCTAGCCAGGAAAAGTCATTCAGGCTATTGCCATAATAGCCTACCAAAAACACAGCATCCACTCTTGAGGTATTGTAGATTGTGGGAGTTAATTGAAAATATCTCCCCATGTTTTTGCATTAGAATTTGAGTGAAAATAAAGTATATGCTTACTGAATTTATCTAATAAATTCAATACAATACATTTTAAAATATGATTTCAAAAGAGGTCATCTTATATGGCAAATATAGCCCCAAACCTACAATTTAACTTGAAAATTTGGGGGTTGTCTTATAAGCTGAGTTGCTTTGTATGCTAGCATATATGGTATTTCAAATTATTAAATGAAATAAATAAAACTAAATTAAAAATAAATCTTATTCTTTCAGTTACTTGAGATTATAAACCAGTCAATGGCTTGACTCATTCAAACGGTGTCCTATTTGCTCAAGTGAAACCCCACAAAAAAGTAAGCTAATCTCTAATCTACAGTTAAAGGTCATATTAGCATATATTCTTAACAAAGGACTAAAAATTGAAGTAGTTTGGTGGGGAAGGAGGCAGTTTTACACTTGAATTGCCAGATCAAGCAAAAGGGGTTTAAGCTGCACTTAATACAAAGAGTACGTCTTCAAGAGATGATGAGCTCATTTTAGATTTATGCCATGTCAAAGTTGGCCTCGGATGGAAGTTGGTCAGTTAGCCTCGAGAGACATTATTTAAATACTGGCCAAAGAGAAAGAGAGACTATTTATTGATTTTCAGAGAGAAATCTGACTCGATTGGTAGAAATGAACAATCTTTTTGGATTGAGTACAATTATGTATAATATCCAAATAATATGATTTACTACATCTATCTATCTCAGTTTGTACAAATTTATCTATCTATTTATCTTTCTATCTATCTCTCTATCTATCTATCTTGGTCTGTTTTTATCTATCTATCTATCTATCTATCTATTTTGGTCTGTTTCTATCTAGCTATCTAGCTATCTATCTTGGTCTGTTTCTATCTATCTATCTGTCTATCTATCTATTTTGATCTGTTTCTATCTATCTATCTATCTATCTATCTATCTATCTATCTATCTTGGTCTGTTTCTATCCATCTATCTATTTTGGTCTGTTTCTATCTATCTATCTATCTATCTATATATCTATCTATCTATCTATCTATCTATCTATTTTGGTCTGTTAATATCTATCTATTTACAGTGTACGAAAGGTAAATTGTTATCCTTTTATATTTTTAATTTTGTGCATGCGTGTTGTTTGTTTTTGAATTTGTCAACTGTACAGTATAGTAGGCTTAACTGGGCACTGTCTGTGAGAAAAAGAGCATTATTACACAATTCACTCTGCCAGAAATTTAGAAACGGCATCCTGTACTGCTTGGTATTTGCTCTGGAAGCTCCAATATGAACATTTCAGAGGACAGTGCAGAGGATTCGGGAAGAGTTGGATGAGTCTAATGGTGATTACAAAGGTATGGTGTCTTGGAAAACTCACTTTTATTGTTCTGATAAGAAAAGAACTCCCACATTTATTGGTATTGGCCTCAGACTCAACACAGAGGCCTACATCAAGTGCCTTGTGAAGGTAGTGCTGCCCTAGGTCAAAGGGTGGCTGTTGGAAATACTATGTCTGGCAACAGGACTCTGCATCATGTCCCACAAGCAGGAGAACCCAGTCATGGCTGTCAGACAATTTCTGCAATGTCATTCCCTCTTACATCTGGCCACCTAACTCACCAGACTGCCACCAAACTGTGGGCTGCAGTTGTGTGAGAGACCAACAAAACTCCTAGTAACACTGAAGACAAGGATTATGAAGACAAGGATTATGGCAGGAACTTAAACATGGAGACTGCCCAAAAGTGTTGCAGGAGATTCTAAAGTCATCTGGAGGCACAGTTGAAGCCAATGACGATTTTATTTTAATATTTCAAGATATTTTTGTGTAATTTTGCAAAATATATGTGTTAAAATGATATGTCAGTATTATTTTCATTTTTGCATAATTTAGATAACAATTTATCCACTGCATCTATCTATCTATCTATCTATCTATCTATCTATCTATCTATCTATCTATCTATCTATCTATCTAATGGCTTAGAATTGAAATATGTCTTCCAATTGATTAGGATTCAGTAAGGATCTAATTCACTACAGTGTTATTATCTAACCACTGCTAACTACTGATCTGTGGCAAGATTCCCAATACTTATTTGTCAGCTGATTTTGAAAGGATTGTTACTATGACATTATTTTGAATTATTAAGTTTATTTTTGTTAAGGTATAGCAAAAACACAAAAACATTGATCATTGATGCGGATGGCCTACTATACTTCATAAAATATTTGAGTCACTACTCTTGACTGTCAACATTGATCGGGTATATACTTGAGTATAGAGGAGGCATGGTGGAGTAATGGATAGTGACTCAGATTGAGGAATTGGAGAGCTGAGTTCATATTCCAATTGAATCCATTACATTCACTTACATGCTAATAACCTTGGGAAATGTATGAATCCTCTTCTTCTCCCCCAAGCTATAGGTAAATAGCAGAACAGATGAGGTTCTATAGCCTTGGATGGCAACTGGTCTACTGCAGAAAGAAATGGCAACCTACTGCAGGAAAAAATCTGCCTCGTCAGTCATGTATTGAAAGATACATGATCGCCTAAGCGTGTATCACACATAGCACATAACTGAACTGATATAGGTAAACATTCGTTCGGCATTTTGGTGTAATGGTTAACAAGCTTGTCCCACTAGAACAATTATAACTGTGTAGTGAGTTTGGTCCCCACTGAGTGCCCTTTACTTTCAGCCTTGTGCCACATCTAAGCTACGCTTGGAAAATCATTATAGGTAAACATAGGTTGGGTTTATACTTGAGTCTGTAAGGAAAACACTGGTCAGTTTTTTAATTGAGTCTGGTAGGTGGCCACTTTTGTGGTGGCCTTACCCCACTGCAGGGATACAGTCAGTGTATTTTAGGCCCAAATGGGCAAAGTATGCTAACCCTAATTAGATAAATTATGTATTAGTTAAAATAGATTGTGGCCCTTTTTATTATAAGATACTGTTTAAATTTGATTCCCAAGAAGAAAGTTATCTTACAACGAATCAGAAAGTCAATGCTCATTGGCTTAATACAGAGAATTCACGCTGGTTAATAAAATTAAGAGATTTTCTCGATAAAACAAAATAATAGATAAGAACAAACACCAGATGGAAATAAACATAATCATTGGGAAGTGATGAACAACTGATTAGCTGTAAATGGATGACAGATGATAAGCCAAGGACAAAGGAAGACAATGGAGAAAAAAAAAAATTGCAAAAAACAAAGCAAGGAAATTATGAACTCCAAATCAAACTCATGTGTCATCTTGTGAACAAAGTGTTTAGCGTTGGTAACAGATGCCTCAGGAGATATCAACAAGAACTAGATTTGCATCCAGTAGACTAACTTTATTTGTTGTGACGAGAAAATAAATCTCCAGAGAGTATGGTTGGATAACAGCAACAACAACAAAAACTGTCAATTGAGGAAATAAAAAACGAAAAACATGATTCAGTGGGGATAGGAAGAAAGAACGGAATTGTATTACATTTTTTGCATGAAGTCTTTGATAATAAAGGTGCCAAAGAATGGAATAGTGATTTTGTTACTGGTCAAAAAAAAAAAAAAAGAAGAAGGAATCTTTTATTTCTTCCTACAGTGACATTTTCCAGTGTCGATGAATGGATTTTGTCTCTTGGGACTTTAACCTTTCCTTACTGATCTTGTTTCTTTTGCAATTTTTGTTGTTATTCTGCAAATATTTCTCTTGTCTTTTTAATGACACCATTTGGTTGTTCCTCATTTCTCTACTTTTGATATTTACTATTAATGTTATTATTATTAAGATTATTATTATTAGTAATAGTAGTAGTAGTAGTAGTAGTTCAAGTCCTCTGCCTATCCCTCTTTCTTATTGTCTTACTATTTTATTTATTTCATCTTGTCTTTCTTTATTCTTTTCCTCCCCTTTAATTTCTAAATTTTCTTCTGTCTTATATATTCTTCCACTTTTCCTCATCTTTCAATATTCCATCTTTCTTTTTCTCTTTTACTCCTCTTTCCTTTTTCCTTGCCTTTTCTTTTTATTCTTTCTTCCTCATCTTTCCATATCCCATCTTTCTTTTTCTCACATCCTCCTCTTTCTTTTTTCCTTGTCTTCTCTTTTTATTCACTCTTCCTCATCGTTTCATATACTAGCTTTTTCCCTTCCTCCTCTTTCATTTTTCCTTGTTTTTTTTCTGTTTAATTATTCTCTCCACTCCTCATCTTTCCATATCCCATCTTTCTTTTTCTCTCTTCCTCCTCATTTTCTTTTCCTTTATCTTCTCTTTTTATTTATTCTTCCTCATCTTTCCATATCCAATCTTTCTTTTTCTCTCTTCCTCCTCATTTCCTTTTCCTTTATCTTCTCTTTTTATTTATTCTTCCTCATCTTTCCATATCCCATCTTTCTTTTTCTCACATCCTCCTCTTTCTTTTTTCCTTGTCTTCTCTTTTTATTCACTCTTCCTCATCGTTTCATATACTAGCTTTTTCCCTTCCTCCTCTTTCATTTTTCCTTGTTTTTTTTCTGTTTAATTATTCTCTCCACTTCTCATCTTTCCATATCCCATCTTTCTTTTTCTCTCTTCCTCCTCATTTTCTTTTCCTTTATCTTCTCTTTTTATTTATTCTTCCTCATCTTTCCATATCCAATCTTTCTTTTTCTCTTCCTCCTCATTTCTTTTCCTTTATCTTCTCTTTTATTTATTCTTCCTCATCTTTCCATATCCCATCTTTCTTTTTCTCACATCCTCCTCTTTCTTTTTTTCCTTGTCTTCTCTTTTTATTCACTCTTCCTCATCGTTTCATATACTAGCTTTTTTCCTTCCTCCTCTTTCATTTTTCCTTTTTTTTTTTTCTGTTTAATTATTCTCTCCACTTCTCATCTTTCCATATCCCATCTTTCTTTTTCTCTCTTCCTCCTCATTTCCTTTTCCTTTATCTTCTCTTTTTATTTATTCTTCCTCATCTTTCCATATCCCATCTTTCTTTTTCTCTCTTCCTCCTCATTTTCTTTTCCTTTATCTTCTCTTTTTATTTATTCTTCCTCATCTTTCCATATCCAATCTTTCTTTTTCTCACATCCTCCTCTTTCTTTTTTCCTTGTCTTCTCTTTTTATTCACTCTTCCTCATCGTTTCATATACTAGCTTTCTTTTTTCTCTTCCTCCTCTTTCATTTTCTCTTACTGCCTCCTCTCTTATTTACTTTTACTCTTACCATCTTTTTTTTTATTTAACTCTTCATATTTACCCCTCCCTCTTTTTTACTCTTTCCTTTTTTAATTTCAGCTAGTCTATCTTTTTGAGATGTTTATTTTTTCTCTCAGTTTTTTTCTATCTCTTTTTTCCATAATCTTTTCTCACCTTCCATCTGTACTGAATGTTTCTTCACTTGCATCAGATTCTATTCATTGTCTTTCTATCAATTAGGCAGAGTCATATGTATTTACATTTTGTGTAACCAACTGTAATGATGAATGTATCATCCGAAGTTAATTACTAATCATATGTGACAGTTAGGATTAAACTTGGAGTACATGAACATACTTTCTTTTTTACACGTCTGTGACAGCATACACAGAGAATTAAAGGAAGAATTGTGTTTCTCTTTTATGATGATACAAGACTGGATACAATAAGATTAACTCGAAAATAATTTGGGAATTTTGTTGGTCTGTTCTATGCAACCAGCTATATTCACCTGATCTTCACTAACCAATTATTAGTTATTTTTTTTTTCATATCAAAACCTATGGAATTGGACTCAAAATATATGGACTTATTTTGTTAATTGATTTGTTTCTTTATGATTTATCAACCCTTTGTGAGCTATTTAAAGCATAAACATATTTTGGACTGTAAGAACAATTATTTTGTTTTTAGCAAATAAATATTGCATTTACATTTTTTTTTTTTTTAGAATACCAATAACTTTTCCCCATATATGTCCTACTATTTAACCCATAGCTAGTAGGAGATGAATTCATACCTTTCCCAAGGGTATTTGCTTATAAATGAATGTAAGGAGCAAACTAAAATTCAGACTTGAATTTCTTTTGTCTTATTCCAAGTCAAAAAGTATCAAAGAGCTGCCTGATAAGTGGCAACAATTCCTTGCAAATAACGGTGAATATATAATTCAACAGAATGCAACTATAATTTATTTTTTGAAGCTGATTAACAGAAATGGAAATTATTAACAAAAATAGAAATTATTTATAACTCAAATCTTACTGAAATATAAATCTATCTATCTGGAAAAAGTCAAGAGTAATAATTCGTGCCTGATGAATTGGTAGAACCACAAAACTTTAAGTTGCACTTTGAGTGTGGGTATATGTATATTTATTAATATATATTCTTAGCTCTGTCTAACTACATTGAGCACTGTTTTGTTTACACCTAATAATTAATTGAGTAAATATTTATTTGCTTACTTGTGTATGAATGCTAACACATGTATATACAGTTGCTAATATCTAATTATTTGGTTTATATCCACATTTATAGCATTCTAGATTATCTATCTATATATTTATCTATCTGCATTATTTATCAATCAATATATCTATTTACATTATCTATACCACTATCTATCTCTATTATCAATCTACCTATCTATCTATCTATCTCTGCATAAGCATTATCTCTCTATCTACATTATCTCTCTATGCATATAAATTATCTATCTGTCTGTCTGCCTATCTATCTATCTATCTATCTATCTATCTATCTGTCTGTCTGTCTGTCTATCTATCTATCTATCTATCTATCTATCTATCTATCTATTTATTTATTTATCTATCAAGCTCAATATGCCAAAATGGCAAGATATTAACAACAAATCATTGGTCCGGAAATAATCAAACGTTAAAGAGATTAAGAGGCGCAGATGAGAAAATGATTATTGGGGTGGAGAAATGAATTTGGCATTGCAAGTTCAATTCGCATTCAATTCAGCTTCATTCACTTCACACTAATGCCCTTGAAAAAGGCATAAACCAATCTTTTTCCAACTCTAAATATCACAACAGACTTTGTTCTCTTGCATTCAGGTGGCAATCAGTCAGGGAGAAGGTGAACTCTGAATTCGAAACCTGTTAGAACAAGCATGGGCTCCATCACATTATCTTATAAATGCACTATTGATAGAATTGTGGTATATGTGGGGCCCTTATGACCCTAATGGATTACAGGACTCATGACTATAATACAAACTAATAAGGTAACTTATTATGCGACGGCTTTCACTTTTCATTTCTTCAGGAGAACCAATGTTGGTATGAAAAAGCTTGAATAATATATTTAATGTGAGATCAAATATTGTCTCAAGAGTTCAACTTTGGACTCTCACCAGGTCAAAACATGAGCCTGATTGACTTGTTCCCAAGACACTTTTTGGTGGATCTTGTGGAATATTTAGAAGTATTGTCTTGTTGAAAAATTAATATCAGATCATTCTGCTTTAGAAAACAAGTTTTTAGTTGTGAGAAGGAAATTCTGATCTTTTACTGTAGTTCATATAATACAAGGCCCAAGAACCTTTCAAGTTAGGTTATTAAATGAGCTTGTTAAAATTTAGATAAGGGTTGATCTGAGACTTGAAAAGGTAAAGTTTGTAGTGATCTGGAAAACAACACCTCAGGAGTCTGTTCCATAAATTAGTCATTCCTGGGAAGAAACTGTTTGAATGGAACTTCTGCCTTACTAATGGAATACAACCCTGTATACATTGCATGGTAGCTTTTAGCTGAACTAAATAAAGGCATTTAGAATAAAGGCATTTATTTTGTCAGAACATATTTTTTAATCCTTTCACCCAAGCAAGGCAATAAATCAGCTAAGATGCATGGGGTTAATGAGTGTGAGAGAATATAAGCAAAAAAACATTATTAAGGTGAGAGAACAATTAAAAACAGGAATTAAAAAGACAGAAGATAACGGTTGACATTGCATTTAATTTTTTGAAGATCAAATTTGACTGGAAAGCAAAAAGCTGGAAGAAAGTTCTACACATATGAGAGAAGAAACTTTAGCATAGACCTTATGATTACATCTAGCCATTTCAACTGTAAAATGATGAGACCTAACTGCCAATTTAGTACTGAACTTAAATTCATGAAGTCTATGTCCCAAAGAGGAAAACTCATCAGTAAAAATTATTGTGGAAAGTGACTGAAGCTGAGATGCCAAGTCAGGACCTTAATATATTGTTATGGGATCTTACCCATAATAACATAATGGACTATTCCATACGTAATAAATACTGCACCTCAAGAGGAAGCAGGGAGTTCAGTCTGAAGTCTGGAGTGATGTCCGTCAGGAGTATGTCAGTCAGTCAGAGCAAGTGTGTCAGTCAGTCGAGTCAAGAGTTGAGTCAGAGGCAGTCCGAAACAGAGTCGCATTCAGACAATTACTACAAGACATTGGAATAGTGATACTGGTCGAGACTACATTGTTCTCTCTACTAAACCTGATTGTTCATACTAACGCTTCTACTTCTCTGTATATATTCATGTTTGTAATATATCTGTGTTATTCCATATCCATGTTCGAGTTCTTTATTGGTTCTACCTTAGACTATCACCGTGGTACAAGGAATCGAACCATAACATATAGATTATTACATCGTACCAGCAACAAGAAGTAATCCCTGAACCGTTAGAAGCATTGGAAATATAAACTAATGCTGTTAGAATTTAATTTTATTTCACTGATTTTACTTTTCCTTATGTTAACCATTAATCAATGTTTACCATGACTATATTATTTGACAAGAAAAATTTGGCTGGTGTCAATCAAGAAATAAAAAAGATAAATAGATTAAGCAAATTATTATGGGAGAGACTGATTCTTTGGTTTCTTTAAATGCTTAAGACTTGAGGGCGAAAATACAGACAGCATCTTTTACAGAAAGAAAAGTCAATATCATGATATTCAATGGTGATGGCTACAACAGATAATATGTATCTGAAATTGTTTTGCTGCTTTGTGAATTTAATGGAAGACCAAATATTGTATGCAGAGTTCAAACATAAACCTGAGAGGATTTGAACTAAACTAGTGGTCATTGTAGTGTGGGTAATTGCATTATCTTGAAAAATAACATCTATCTATCTATTACAGTTTTTTCAGAATTTCATGTATATCTATGTCAGTCAGTCTTTTCTAAAGGCTTTTAAATCAATCTCAGCTTGTTCATTATCTATCTATCTATCTATCTATCTATCTATCTATCTATCTATCTATCTATCTATCTAGCTCAGCTTATTCATATCTATATATATATACATCTATCAATCTATCTCAGCTTGTTCATATCTATCTATATATATATATCAATCTATCTAAGCTTGTTCATATCTATCTATATATATATATATCAATCTATCTAAGCTTGTTCATATCTATCTATATATATATATATATCAATCTATCTAAGCTTGTTCATATCTATCTATCTATCTATCTATCTATCTATGCATC